AAATCTTCCTCCATTTGTCTCACTGCCGTTTTAGGACAGAATTGATTCTTGAATCTATCCATGAATTCTACCCAAGACAGAGTCTGTAAAATATCTGTTTTGGTAGATGATTCAACTTCCCACCAGAATAAAGCATTTGACTTTAATACATAAACAACAAATCGAACTTTATCTGTTTTCGGACAACGAATGGTGTTGAACACATATTCCATCTCCTTAATCCAGCACATAGCTTTTACTGGATCTCTCTCCCCAGAAAAGGTTGGTGGTTTGCATGCTAAAAACATCTTAATATCTCCTTCTTTGATGTGGGTGACTGAAGTAGAGGGATGAACTTCCACTCTTTCCGTTTCTACCCTAGCCGGTATTCCCATAATAGATGTCAGAGTTTTCTGCAACTTTCCCATTTCTTCTGCCAACATATCCCTGGTTATATATTCAGGATGTGGTACCGATCTTTCCTGAATATTCCCAGAGTGAGATTCTTCATTTTCAGAATATATTCCAGTCCGACCCCTTTCCTGAGACTGACTTCTTCCTCTGCCTCGTCCTCTTACTCTTCCCCGACCTCTATTTTCAGATGTACTAGTCGATAGATTTACGGGTGATTCTTCTCTTTCCTCATATTTTGGACGAGCCACTCTTTCAGATCTTCTAGTTCGGCTAGACATATGTAGAATTTAGTGTTAATAATAACGTATTCACATTCCCAAATATAATGAAGTATTCAAGTTCAGATGTGTACCTGTAAATTCATAATTACACTGGCCAGATGTAATTAAAATTTACCTTACACACTGTTCTGTTAACTCATCATATTTATTTCCAATGGTGCTAACTATGTCCGGGACCCTTAACATGCAATAAAACAGTTTAAGTCTAGGTATCATGCTGTTGAATACCTAAATCTCTTAAACTCAGRCTCTGATACCACTTTGTAACACCCCAAGCCATACATTGCATGTAACACATATTTCATACAAAAGAAATACATGATATCATTCCATTCAGGTCCTTTAGTACAAGAATCTATTATGACCAAATACAAGGTCTAAAAATTCAAATATATTACTTGTACTAAATAATCAAAACTGTACATCAAAACAGATCTTCAAGCAGAAACGCATATAGGAAAATATTAAATTTTCCCCTTTCCCTTATTGTCCGTACCTTCTGCAACACTTAGTTAAAATCACAAAACGAGGGTTAGACCGAAAGGTCTAGTGAGATACCCTACTTATGTTATTGCAGGGTGAAAAATCACCAAAATCTTTATGGAAAACATCCTTTCATGTATAACAATTATATGAACAAATAAGAACACAATACCAGACTTCTTCCATATTTCAAGCAAAGCTTTCAATTATACGAATCCTATACCTCTGAACCAATCAGGTTTCACATTATGCCATTTTTAAACCTTTTTCAGGCAAAATAAGGTTTATAAAGTTTCAGGCCAAACCTGATGTTTTCTCCTCTATAACATTCAGACTATGATTTCCAATAAGAACCTTGATCCTAAATCTTTAAATCATAAAGAAATAAAGATTCCAGAACACGGTAATCTTAAAGGATATAATAGAAAGAGTTATATCATATAATCACACATACAAATGTCACCCTTATATCCAAAGGTACACCTCTCCTTGATATGCCACCCTTATCCCATG